CCTGGGTGAATACATTGTTGCTGTAGAGAGAGGTTTCTTTTCCCTAACTGCTATTCTTTTTGAGTTCCTCTCCCCTCTCCTCTGTAATGGCTAGGTATCTGACATGCACTGAAAGCTTTTATTACTTCAGGCCCTGTAGTCCTGCCCCAGCCTTTGTGAACACACACCATTCACAAGATACCTCGTTGACTGTGGTCTACATCCCTGGAGCCGATATCCGCCTGCCACTCCATGTTCCCAGACCTCCTCTCTGGGACAGTCCACAGCCCACCCATGGAGCTGGGACATCCTCAAACCCTGGGTCAAAAGTGCCCCATGAGCCCACTGATCAGGGAACTCAGCCACGCTAAGGCATCTATCTCCTTCCGCTGCTTCTTAACCTCATGGCCCTTGGAAATATTTCGGAATGCTATGAGGACATTCAAAGATTGCTCCGTTATAGCTGTCTTCTTTGTGGTGAATCTACAGTATTAATGTTTCAAGACAAGGTAAGTGAAGTCTCAGGAGACAGGAATTGGTAGAATTGGGATCTTACTAGGTGGAGCTTCTCTGGCATCTTCCCAGTGATACAAGAGGAAAAGTGCTACTCGGGATAGGAGCTAAATATAGGGATTCTTCCCCCTGAAGGTCACCCCCAAAGACAAGTTCAGGTTGACTAAGTTAAAGACACCACCTCTACCTCCTTTGCAAGAAAATTAAAGGACCAGGGCCTTGATGCCCAAGGACTAGAAAATATACTTGTGACATTAATGGACACTGCACTTGGGAGAAATAAGGAACAAGGCAGTAGAGATAAAGTGATAGAGATAAAGATTTGGGACTTCTACAGCAGAGTTTTCAGGTAAGAACCTCCGATCTGACTTTAGAGTTTCTCTAGCTCTCCTGCCATGCAGCCCTACGCCAGTAGAACATAATCTACAGAGGAAGACAACAGAACTGGAGTCTTCCTACCCGATTCTAACTTGCACTCTTGTGATTTTTTTCCCCCTCAAGAGAGAAACACACTTTTAAGCAAGAGAAGATACTCAAGTGTTAAAGTTGGTGATGTATGTAAGTAGTGTTTTAGGAAGCCTCAGAATAATAGATGGTTCTGGAATAGCTTAGTTCAGTAATTCCAACTTCAGTCCCCTAGGGTGATTTCAACATCTGAGCCTTCTCTCATTCCCTCCACCCAGCTCCACCCTCCCAGTCTTGCAAGATTCCTGAGAGGAAGCTGTGCAAGGGGTGGGTGTACTTTAAATTGTTGGTTTTCCCTAGAAACCTGAAATCTGCCTCCCAACGTTCATTTTTCCCTAAAACCTTTTGTCAGGTCCTGTGTGCTAACCCTCCTAGACAGGACTGTGGTCTCCTCCACCTGCTCCCAGCTCTCTGCAATCCCTTTATATGAAGATGCAGAACCTTCCAATACATCTGGGCTTCACCCAAATCTGACATCTAATGCGGTTCCAGGTTCATTTCCCTGCCTCATTTCTTGGGTGCAGGATCCCCAAGATCTCTAACAAGAGACATAAACTCACTGAAAAAGAACAAGGCAGGAAAACAGGCTATAACCACACACACACACACACACACACACACACACACACACACACACACACACACCCTTAAACATTTAAGTTGGAAAGAATTTCCTGGAGCCATGTCTGGTACAGAACCATGGGAATGCTCAAAACTAACAAACAGTTTTCTGGAGCTATAATTAAGATATCATAAGGGTCAGAGGGTTTCGAGGGGAGCTTACCCACTGAGATTGTACTTCTCCATCTTAGTTTAGGAACCTACTGTGGTATGCTGCATGCCATCGAAATGGATAATGTCCCTCAAGAAACCACTTTCTCCAAAAATCCTTAAAGGCGACCGATTTTGACTTGAAAACCACTGCCAGAGAGCAGCTTGAACGCACTGTTCGTTGTTTGCCTATGCAAAGCCTGCATCTGACTCATTTTGCTGATGTCTTACCCTAACGTTGCTTGTGGGTGACTTGCAGACAAGACGTTCCTGTAACCACCCAGGTTACTCAGCACCCAGGCAACCTTTGGCTGTACCTCACCTGTTTTGTTCGCTTTCCGGGATTTTCCATTATGCAAGGAAGCTTTACAATCTTAATATTTATATCATGCTTTAGTATACTACTGTCCTTACAACATATTCCCATTAGGTCCTTAAAACCTCGTTGTGAGGTGGGCACGCATAATCACCATTTTACAGACAGAGAAGCAGCGGTCTAATGGGCTGATTACATGGCAGCAGGGAGTCGAACCCACGATCCGATCCGACCCTGCTTAAGTTGTGTGCACTCCACCTTACCGTAAGCCTCACAGACAGAACTGCTCCAAGATCACACTTTTCATAGGCTAGTCAGTCTGAGGGGATATACTGATGTCCTTGGAAAATGTAAATAAAAACCCCAAAGTGTCCAAAATTAAGGCACACCACGCGATGTGAATACAGAGTATTGTTTAAAGGTATTCGTGGGCTAGCTAGATCAAAGCCTAACCTCCACCTTGCCTAGCTCGGCAGGTGGGAGTCCCTTTTCCTCTGTCCAGGCCTGTTTCCTTCCGTGGGGGAGGGCAGGACTTGTAGAATCTACACTGGACAGGGCAGGTCTCTTCCCTTCCTTCGCAGTCCAGGTCTCGTCCACTGGCCCTGGGGGCGGGGGGCGGGGGGGCACGGCAGGCCACGCTGTTGGGGAGGCTCTGCCTCGGATGAGGCTGGGCGGGGTACTAGGCCGGGGGCCCAGAAGCCTCTGTCAGCGGTGACCAAGCCCACTTTTGGGTTCCCACGGCCGCTAGGCGGGTCCGCACCCGCGCGACAGCGCATGCGCGCCGGCTGCGCCTCTTCGCGCCGGGGGCGGAGCCAGCTGCGCCAGTTGCTCCTCCTGCGCGTGCGCCTGGTTAACACAGCTCCAGGGCACCGGGGACGGGGTGGGCTTTGCACTCAGACCTTGAGGTTGAGGCCCATGAGGTCATCCTGGAGTCTAGACTGCTGGAGCAGTGGTCGAGTGCTCGTTAAAATTCCAGATTTCTGGGCCCCACCCCCAGCTGCCTGGGTAAGACCCAAGAATCTCTGTTCTTAAATCATCCCCAGATAATTCTGATATGTGGTCCTCATCGGCTCGACCCACCCTCTTGTCTAAAGAAACGTAAGAATTGGAGCATAGACGTGGAGAAATGATTGCATGCTACAGAACTAAGTGGCAGAGTTTGGTATAGAACCCAGATTTGTCGTCTTGCATTCAAGTGCTTTCCTCTACTGTTCCCTGGTTCCCCTCCACATGTTCAGGGTATAGTTTAATCAGTACCATGCAGGCTGGCAGGCAGTTCGTTCATATTGTTGGGCTAACTGAAGCATAAAAGCCCAAAGGACCTGGAAGAACCCCACCCAACAACTCCACATCAAAAGCGCCACTGGTAGCACTGACTCTTGACCAGTATTGCCTCAGTCTGCCTAGGAGTGGAGGCACCCTGGAGAAAGCTGTGCCCACTCCTATAGGGACGATGAATGGTTTGGGTGGAAACACCCCCTTCCCATACACACACTGGTCCGTATGTGGTCATGAGGGACTGTATGCGTATGGCATCACAGGCATAACTCAACAAGAATGTAAAGTGTTCCCATGTTTACATGCGTGTGTGTGGAGTCTGGGAGGTCTGACCCATCTGTGTGTACAGGATTTTGGCTCAAGTTTAGGTGTGTTCAGTAACAGGCAGCAACCCCAATCCAGAACAGCTGGAGCATATGTGATGACAGCCACTTTCAATGGCCCTAGATGGGGAAATGGACACTCCTTTGCATACTCTCACCAGAAGCCGCTGGGGGAGCATGGGGAGCAGCAGAGCTGAGATCCCCACTCCCACACTTACACTTCTGTAGGAGTCAGCAAGCCCAGCCTCCAAAAGCCCATGTGGAGGGGAGGGGGCTTGGGGCTGCAGATGCTGGGGCCCTATTTGCTTTTAGAATCCCCTTCTCCCCTGGGGGGAGGGAGGCAACTAACAAAGTACTTTTGCCAGGCTTCTGCGAGCAGACAATTCCACTCCCTGTGATGGTCCTCAGGACCAGTCTATGGGATGACGGTGGGTGTTTTCAAGGCCGCTGTAATTGTTGAGAAGCATGTCATTTTCCTCTGTTCCTCCCAAATCTCTGTCCCTTTCTATCTGTCCTGTCCCAGCCTAACTTCAAAACCTCAAGGCTGCAACTCTTTCCGAGAAAGCCAGGAACACAGCTGCAAGTCCCATTCCCTATGGGGGAGTTCCAGCTCTCCCTCCTGGCTCCAGATGTAAAGGAACAGCTGTGGGGGTGGCAGGAATCCCAGTTGGCAGCTAAGCAGAGCCTGGGAAGATGGAGAACAAAGAGGGGAGAGACAGACAAATGCCAGGGGTATCCCAACTCTAGAGACGTGGGGGGGCAAAAGCATTTCATCCCCTGGCCTGGCGACGGGCTGACCGGCCTTGCCAAACTCCCTAGCTGCTGCCGGAGCCCTGCCCACCCGGATCCTGGCAGCCCGGGCCACTGGCAGGACCTTCTATAAACTCCATTTTATGATTCCCACTTAATCTGAGAAGGGAAACTTGGCTTCCTTTGTCTGACTCCACCCCTGCCCTGAAACAGACACCTCCCGACATGAAATTTTAGAAGCTGAAAGCTGGTGAGGGAGAGAGCGGGCGGTGGGAGAGGGTTCTGCCCTTCCCCTCTGGCATCCTCCTGCCCCTCCCTACCTCTGGGAAGTAAACCAGGATGAAAGATGCCAGGCAAGTGTCCAGCAGACAGGGCTGCTCTGGGCACCCCTTGTTTTCCTACTAGGCCAAAGTGACAATGTATGACTTGACTTGGCACCACGCACTAGACTCAATAAATACATTTCTTGAATGACCATGGCCTGCTCTGGGTCGCAGTGGGTTCTTTAATAAGCCTGTCCACTGCCGGGAGAGGGGCCTACTGCCGTGTCCCACTGCCCGTCCATGTCTTCCCCAATCTGAAAGGACACAGGGTATCACAACTGCTTTTGTTTTAGGAAAAATAGTTTAATATGTTTGGAACCTCTTTTTTCCTAGATGAGGTTCCCTTCTCCATGGAGTACCCCTACCACTGCTCTTCCCATGCCTGCTGGGAGGAGCAGCCTCTCTCTGAAGGGCACCCACCCACTCCAGATGACCCACCCTCTTGGGAGGCCTGCTCTGGGTCTAGGCCTTAGTGGGCTTCTCTGTTTTTATAAAAAGTGGTCAGAACACTGTATATGCCCCCTTTTCTGGATGTCATGGGACCAGCCCACAGCACTTTCTTTCCCTTAATTAAATAGCCCATTAAATAACCTCCCAGCACTGGCAGACAGGAGATGCTACAGCAACAAGCCTCGTTCCTTGGCTGAGCTCCCAGCACCTGGAGGCCTCCACTCTGACTAGATCTGGCCTCCACGAGAGCAGCCAGGGACATGGCCTCATCTCAGACCTGGCCAGTCCAGAGACCCCTTCCCACATAGGTGAGGGGGAGTCCAAGCCGGTCGTGCTGGCACCAGGCACCCCCACAGCCATGTCTGGGGGTCGCTCAGGCAGCTGAGTGGGCAGACCGCTGGGTACAGCTCCTGCCCAAGTCAGAAGTAAGTGAGGTTCTTGACTGCTCCGATTTCCAGCATCCGTTTGATGGCCAGGGCCTCTTGGGAGACGTTGTGGCCTGACCCCTGTGGAGACAGCCAAGGAAGCAAACTGAGGGATTTCCAGGGATGTCCCTGGTCCAGGACAGTCTCCCTGGCCCTCCCCACAGCCCCACACTCTGGGAGCTCCCTTCCCCGTGATGCCTTTCGGACGGAAGACAGAACCTGTGTGGCCGAATATAGAGGACACTGGCCTTCAAGTCCAGATGCCTTGGTGCCAGTTCTGACTCTCTGAGTGACCTCACCGTGAGCCACCTCTGGGCCACCAGCACTACCCATTCACCCAGTGTCCCAGGCTGGTCTGCCCCACCCAGCGTGCAGGCAGAGGCCGCTTACCGCCATGGACTTGAGTGTGATCTGCTCATAGTAGTGAATGGTCTGCTTCCTGTTGTGGGCATCTGGGTAGCCAAAGCCAGCGATGTGCACCACGTCGCAGAGATGGAGGGCCAGGGTGATGGCCAACAGGCCTGTGGTGGGCTTCTGAGGAACAAGGCGGGGGAAGGTATTAGAGGGAGCCCTGTTCCTTTCAGCATCTTCTAGGCCAGCGCTCTGCAACAGAACTTTCCATTATCCTGGAGGTGGTCTTCATCCGTGCTGTCCCATATGGCAGCCACGACCACAGCTGGTGACGGAGGAAGTAAATGGGGCTTGTGTAGCTGAAGGACTGAATTTTTAAATTTAATTTTATTTTAAATAAATAAAATTTAAATAGCCTTATGTGGCTTGTGGCTACCATACTGCATAGTACAGATGGGGAAATGAGGCTTACAACTAACTGTTAAGCAACTTGCTAAGGGGTGGAAAGGTTCTGTTCTTTCCTCTTTCAGAAGATCTGGGGACCCCACGCTCATGGGCTGTATGCCTCTTTATGAGGTGGGCTCTCCCCTTCTGTAAAGTGGGGAATGGCCAAGAGTTTTCTACTCACCTTATGGGCTGCTCTAAGGACCTCACTGTCTCCCTCCTCAATTCATCCACAGGGACGGGCAACCTGCTATCCTAAGCTCACAAATCTCACCTTCCTCAGCTCCTGCCTTCCAGACTACTTCAGTTGCCCACTCCCATTAAGAAGCCACTCTCTGGACCCTGTTTGGCTCCCTGATAACAGTTTTTCCAGTGCGTGTTTCTGAGCTCTGCTATCATTTCATCTGTCACTTCCTGCTTGGGCCTTCCATTTCGCCCCTGCTGCTCCAACCACCACTGCGTTACCTCGTCCAGTTCAGACCTTTGCCGAACCACATTTCCATCGCCTTCTAGCCAGCTCTGCCTGGACACGGGCTCCTTAAACTCACCAAACTCTCTGATCTCCCTGTATTCCCTATCTTAGTTAAATATATTACCGCCCACCCAGTTGTCAAAGCCAGAAACCTAGAATTGTCATAAATCTCTCAATTTCACCTGTCAAGTAAATGTTGTAGCAGGAGAATTCTAAGATGACCCCCCCAATGACCCCCACCCTCGAGTGTGTGTGGAAACTATGGATATGATGAGATATATTACATTATGTTACATTGCTCTAGATGGCACGGCTGACTGTAAGAGAGGGAGATAATCCTAGTGGGCTTGACTTCATTTCATAAGCTTGTACATCTGGGTCTAGAGCTCAGCAGTGGAGGAAGTCAGAGATGGGAAGCACAAGGGTTTCCCATGTCGGGGCTGGCCTGAAGATGGAGGGGGGCACATGGGCAAGGACGATGGGCTGCCTTTAAGAGCTCAGGGTGCTCCTGCCTAACCCGGCTGAATGGCAGCAAGAAAATGGGACCTTGGTCCTGCAACCCCAAGGAACTGAATTCTTCCAGGAAGAATGAGTTTAGAAGTGAATCCCTCACCCCACCCGCCTCCCGACAAGAACCCATCTGGCTGCCAACTTGATTCTTGACACCCGAGCCTTGTACAGGTATGCCCTGCTTTTCGAAAAGTTCATGTTATGCCGCTTCGCTTTTATGAAAGACCTACATTAGTACCTGTGTTTGCTAACCAAAAGAAATCCGAAGAGGATTTTCGCTTTTATGAAAAAAGGCAAAAAGTGAACACAGCATTCGGTGTTTGTTTTGTAGTGAGAGGGGCCCTGCCAAGCCCCTTTCCTGGGAACCACGCTCAGCATCTCAGCCTCAAGCCGCCAGAGCTTTGAACTGTGTCTGTGAGCATCTGTGCTTTATCTTGATATATTTTGTGCATCCGTAAGCAAGATGTGTCCTAAGGTATCAGAAAAACCTGAACGCGCTCATAAGGGGGTTATGCTTAGCATAAAACTGGACATAATTAAGCGTTTCACTTGAAAGGAATAAAGACACAGAAATCAATGGTAATTGCTTCTTTGTTTTACACCATTTCGGCTTACAAAAGGTCTTATAGGAACGCTTTACTTTCGGATACTGGGGAAACCTGTATACAGTAAGCAGAGAACCCAGACACCCCATGCTGGACTTCTGACCTACGGAACTATAAGTAGATACATGGCAGTTGTTTTAAGTCGTTAAACTGTGGTTATTTGTTAGGCAGTGACAGGAAACTAATACAGATTAAGTCCATCCCTTCTGTTTCCCTTCCCACTGCAGGAGCTGGGTCCTTTCTTTCTCTTGCCTCCCTCTCCAGCCTTCACTTCAGCCTCACGCCCCATCAGGGCATAAAAGGCCTTCTTGCTGCCCCGGCAACTCCACCTGCATGAGAACTCAGTGCCGGGACAGTGTTTGGTCTTGCCAAGTGACATACCTCTCCCCAGTCCTCTGCCTGATGGGCCCCATGACCCCTCAAGGCCCAACACCAGCACCACCTCCTCTGCTGGGTGGGGTGGGGTGGGGGGAGGGGCTTCCCTCAGACAGACCCAAGCAGAGGCCTGACCCTCTTTTGAGATCCCACAGCACTTGGAACAACTCTCTGCTGGGGCATTTTGCCACTCCATGCTGCTACCTGTGTGTTTATTCTGCCAGCTAGAGTGTCCTTAGGGCAAGGAGCATGTCTTACTCCCCGCATACGTCCTTGGGGCCTGGCACTGAGCAGTCACAAAAGCAGGCACGGGAACCTGAATCACAGTAGATACTCAGTAAAAAGACAAAAAATCACTTATTCAAAATTGTGCAAATATTTATTGAGCATCCACTGTGTACCAATCTCCACAACAGGCGTGTTAATTATCTTTTGAAATCCTGCAATGGCCTTCAGAGGTCAGTACTAATTTTAGCCCCAACACACAGATAAGAAAATGGAGGCTCTGAGTAGTTGACGTGCCCCAGGCCACACAGTAAGTGGTACGGCAGATCCTGTTTATGTCTGCAGGGTACCTCTGTCCACTCTCCCACACAGTCCCTCTGAGGCTCAAAAGACATGTGTGTGCAAGTACTCGGGATGCTACAAGCCTCTTAATGTCCACCAGCCAAAGACTACTAGAGTACTGAGAGTTGAAACCAAAACTGTAACTTGCAAAGCTGCGCCGTGACTCCCCAAATTGACCATGATATGCAAGACAAACTATAAAGCTCAAACTCTGAACTCATTCGACTAATATGTAAGATAAAGTGATCTAAGAGCAACTGCACAGGCTTGAGTCATTCTAAAGATAACACTATGACTGTCCCAGCAATTCCCCAGTTTAAAAATTCTGACCAGCATCTGCCAAAACCATCCCCTAGCTCCAGCCCCAAGCCTATAAATACTCTCCCATAACTCCCCACTTTGGAGATGCCCCGCGGTTCTCAAGCGTGTGCTCTCCCTGGTCGCAACAAGCTAAAAATCCTGATCACGGGTGTGTGGCTAAAGGCCGTGTCTGTGGGGTTTAACTGGTACTATTCAAATGTGAGCTGCAATCTCTGTTATTATTCTACCCTCTCATGGGGTCCTCCATGGCTTCCTAAGCCTCTAGGACCATCCGATCTACGTCCCACCTGGGACCCCAACCCTCTTGGCTTGCCTGTCACATCATCACCTGCTTAATCTTGCGTGGCTGCTGCATGGGCAGGCTCAGCAGTTTTTCAGCTGCAATCTCCATGAAGAAGGGGTTGAGAATCCGAATCTGTTTGGGGTTGACGTCCCAGATGAGGGGAGGCTGTTTCCAGAAGCCCTTTCGCACCTAGGAGGATGGGGTTGGAAGGGAGAGATGCGAGTGGGCAAAGACCTGTTTCTCAAGGCCAGCCCAGTGGTCCTCATTCAGGGAATGGGGTCCACGTGATGGCAGAAACCCTCAGGGTGAGGGGCGGGGCAAGTGGAGGCATGCACCAGAGACAGCGAGGGAGACCAGAGGGGAGCAAGAAGAGAGGGAAGAGATGGCACCCCCCTCAAGGGAGGCCAGATGACAAGGTGTGTAGGGTATGGGGTCCAACCATTCCCACTTCCAAGAGTCTCCAAACAGGTGGAGGGGCTCGACTTTGGGGTTGTGTAAACACTTGGCAAAAACGCCAGACTGGACAGTTCAGCATTTGACTGGATGACAAAGAGACACAGTGGACTCCCTGGAGGCCACCTGGAAGGCCCCAGGTTTTGACTGTCCTAACCTGTCCCCTGGCTGGAGATGACTACTGACTGGTTCCTCCGCTCCCAAGTTTCTCACTGGCAAATATAATTTGGCAGCTTTTCTGCCCCAGGCAGCCTTGAACTTGGGTGTGCCCTTGGCTGCTACCTGACTCCCACAAGGGCTCAAGCCCTGGCTGCCGGGAGGGCCATCAGAAGCCCTGCAGAAGGTGGAGTTCATGCCTTGCCCTCACCGGCTCTAGGACTGCAGGGCAGACATCATGGAGCGAGAGGTCCTGACTCAGGCCTCAACCCCTCCCCATCTCCCCACTTAGGCCTCAACCCCTCCCCGTCTCCCCACTTACCCGCTTCTTATCACTCAGGATGGTCTCGATCCAGTGGAAGTCCATCGCCTTGAACGCCACCAGCACAAGGAGCGTGTCCGGGTTGTTCTCCACTTTGGGGTTGAAGTGGGCGGATTCGGGGTAGAAGAGACGCATGGTGGTCTTGGAGCCAACGTCACTTTCGTAGCCAGTCACTGGGGCGTTGTTCAATCTGGGAGGAAGAGGAGGATGCCCATCACCTAGGGCGCCCCTGGGCTTATCTGCAGTCACTCCCAAACAGGAAGGGGCGGGGTGGTGATACAGACCTGATGACCATGTCGTATTTGTTGATGGCATCTCCCAGCGAGCTGTTGCGAAGCCGGTGCCCGTTGCCCACCACCACGCAGCGGCGGCACTTGAGGCTGGCATGGGAAGAGGATGCTCAGACGCAGAAGCAACCCCAGCTCCACTGAACTCTCCCGCCTTGGGTCTGCCCCGGGCCTGGCTCAGGACCCCTTCCCAGGCCCCCTCAGCCCTGGTCCCCATAGGCTAGGCATCTCCAAGGAGTCCTGCTTATGGTCCTGCTCATTCTGCAGCCCTGGGCTTCTGTAACAGGAGAGGAAACTGAGCAGAGCATGGAAAAGAGAGGAGGGAAGACGCCTGGGGAGTACCAATAAGAAAGCCCATTTTAAAGCCCTCTCGCCTGCTGTCCAGGCCTGCCTGTTGCCATGGCGACACCCTCCGCAGGCTCTGCCTGCTCCAGCAGCCAGCCTGGATGCCCAGGCTTAGTTGCCGTGGGGACTGGTGTACCTGCCTCCCCCAGAGACGGGCAGACTAAGAAAAAGGGTCAAATTGGCCACAGGGGACCAGAGACAGGACGGCTCACTGGAGGTGCTGGGCCATGACTATTTCGCACTGGGGCAGGACGGAGAAGGTGCTCAGGCTGGAGTAAGAGGGCAGTCTCCTTACCTCTGGATGCTCTCCGGAATGGAGTAGCTGGTGATGGCTAGAACCCGGAGGAGCAGGTCTTCTACAAAAAGAACCAATTGGAAGTGGCTGATGACAACAGCCAGCGTTCCAAAGGCTGCCACTCTCCCTCCACCACTCTGCAGAGCCTTGCCTGCCTTCTCCTCCCCTGACCCCGGAATCTAAGACTGGCTGAGAACTTGAGCACTGGAGACTGTGGACGGCAAAGAACAAGAAGAGAGTGGCCAAGGTGAGCCCACTGTTCCCTACTTACCACTCCCCTTGGTCCCGAAGGGCAGCTCATAAGCAGAGGGTGTCTTGACCCAGAAATAATCCTTAAGCTGCAGGAAGATGGGCTGATCTCGTGAGTGGCTGAACAGAGGTGAGAGCAGGGTGGGGATGCAACAGGGATTAATCTTAATGTCAGAATCAGGGTCAGGCCCCTGACTAATATATGCATGTCCAAGAATCTCTTCCTGCCTCACTGGCTTCACCTAACCCATGTCCACCAACACAGTCCCTCCTTCCGGCCAGCACTGAGGCTCTCACCCTGTGAAACTCTCAATCCCAGCTCATCCCATGTCCGGCCCCAACCCCCTCAGCCTCAAGTACTTACTTGCCAAAGAGCTTAGAGGCCTTCCTCTCTGCCTCACCATGCAGGCATGGCAGCTCCTTCTTCTCTGGGATGGGAAAATAAAAACTGGGGACAAAAAAGGAGAGGAGGCAGGAGCTCCAGTCAGCCCAGGAACCCAGGGGTCCAGGGGCCCGGGGGCCGGCAGCCCAGGCAGCCTCAACTTTGTCCCATGGCACATCCGTCTCCAGTGCTGGAGACTGACTGACAGGGTGGAATCATCTCAACCCAAGTTCCACTTTGAAACCAAACCATTGAGGTTCCTCCTCTTCCTTTTCCTGAAACCCCAGTAGATCATCCCAGACTCTACCCCGCAAACCCACCACCTACCCTCATGGAAGGATTTCGTGCTAAGTTGAAGGGAGAGGTCATGTCCGGGCTCTCTGAACCCTCCTGCCCCACTCCGTCCCCACCCCATGACCTCCATCCCAAGCCCTGTTCCTGAGAAGAACCAAGGGAAGGGCATGGAAGCTGGACTCACAGCTCAATATACCTGTCTTCTCGGGAGATGGAATACCACACCATGACGACCAGCACCAGAACCAGCATGGCCAGGAGCTTCCAGCCTGCAGGGCACATGCACAGAGGAGCTAGAGGCAGAAACAGGCAGGTACAGTCCCAGGCCACCTACTCACCTGCCCCGTTTTGGGCCCCTGCAACCCCCAACTCAAGCGGACCCAGTCCCTAGACCTAGCCTGGCCCTTGCTTTCCAGCACAGGGCTTGCATCTAAGCATTCCCAATGTCATTGGAGATGCAGAGAGGGGGTCTGTCCCTCCACAACCCCCAGGGGTCCCAGGATGACGCTGAAGACTGCTTCCAGGGGGCCCATCCTTCAGGGTGGGGAGCTCTTGGACAACACTCACGGGACTTGCTGATCATGTTTCTCAGCAGGTAGAATTTCTGGGGAGAGCTGGCATCCCGGCTGCCTCGGGCCACCTAGGACATAGGAGTCACAGATGTCTGGTTAGCTGCACACATACTCCTGCCAGACGCTGGAGCAGGACACAACCTGACTCTTGCCATTCCCAGAAAGCTCAAAGCTGCTTCAGAGCAGTCATCCAGAGGGGGACCGTCTCACCCCGGACATCCCCCAGCCCCTCAAAGGCAGCATCAAGGGTCTGGGGGGGGGTGTCCAATGCCACAGAAAGAGAAACCAAGTCCCGCCCCTCAAGGATTAGGTTCCATGCCAGACTGGCCAGTTCCATCTTCCCTGGCATGGTTCCCTCACTGCCCTCTTCCTCATTTTCACCTGAGAAGAGCCAGCTCCAGGAGGTAGGTGGGTACCTCTACCCACTTTTTACATGAAGTTAAGCTAACTGTACAAGGGTGTTACTCATATTTTATGCAACTGAAGTTTATCTATTCGCCACCATCCAAGCCCTCCCCTTGGTTCTGGCCACTGCTCACCACTCCATCATCAGTCTCCCACTACTCCAGCCAAAGAGGTCCACTCAGGCCAGACACTGGCATGAGGGTCTGGCTACGAGACGGTCCACGAGGCCTCCTCCAGTCCTCTGAACTCTGACTAGATGCAAACAGTATCCAACCAAGCCCTCGCCACCCAGGCACGTGGGGAAAACGCAGTGAAGGCAGGGTGTCTGATGGGGAGTGCGGGGAGCAGGAGGGTCTGGTGAGTCAAACAGGCGGCGGGAGACCCTTTCGGGTAAGGGCAAGGCCAGCATGGGAAGGACGGCCTGTGGAAGTGGGAAGCTGTTACTCACACGTAAACAGAGGGGCCCCTAAATCACAAACTCAGTCAGGGCCACGCTCTGGAGTCACTGGGTAGGAAATTTCTGCAGCTTCCACAGCCATACCAAGAGGCACGGGGCACCCACCACTGAGCGCCAGTTTCTTCTCTCCATGCCGGGTCCCCAGTGATCTGCAGCACAGGAATCACCTGTGCGCGTACTAAAAACCCAGATTCCAGGGCCTTTCCTTGGGACTGCTTCAGTCAGCCAGGGTGGAGTGGGACGGGCATTTCCACAAGCAGCCCCCGTGAATCTTTTGAAGGATTGGGGGAAAAGAGGAGAGAACAAGTGTCTGTGTACTCTTGGAGATAAATTAAAAATCTCGACTATGGGCCGGCCGAGTGGCGCGTTGGTTAAGAGCTGGCTTGGGACGCCAGAGGGCCCCGGTTCGGATCCCACATATGAGGGCCAGTGACACTGCCCTCCACAGCTAAGATGCTGAACAACAGCTCAACCTGGAGCTGGGCTGCCGTGAGTTACCGGCAACGGCATAGGCTGCAGCCCCTGTGGCAGTGGGTTGCCATGGGCTACCGTGTGTAGCCAGTAGCCGCCATGAGCGGCCAGCAGCCGCAGTGAGCGGCCATCCAGAAGCCGGCGACTGATCTGCCTCGCCCGGGAAGAGCGCAATGATGGTGCCAACTTGGGCCAGTGAAGCAACATCCTCCACAACTAGACTGAAGAACAAAACGACAGCAACTTGTCTGTTCCCCTCCCCCCGATTCCCCAATAAAATCTTTAAAAACAAAACAACAACAAAAAAAACACATACTGAAAAAAAAAATCTCGACTATTTCTCGAGTGCGGGAGGTGGCGTCTGGACAAGGTCCGGTTTTTTAAGATCATAAATCAATTAGCCTGAACTCTGTCCTGCTCTGCACCCAGGGGGCATTCCCCAGGCTCCACTCAGAGTCCATGAGCCCCAAAGAATGACAGTCTTGAGAGTGAGAAGAGAGCCAGGTAGAGACCAGAGTCAGGGTCCTCAGTAGAACCAGGAACCCCCACCCTCTGACCCCAGTGGGGATGGAGGATGGCCCTGCGCAGTGAAGTTCTAGGTTTGTAATTAGAAGACTCCAGTGAAAGTCATGGTTCTAGTAACTTCCCTGACTGCTTTTCCCAAAGTGCACACCTCCCCTGTGTACCCACAGCCACTGCAAAGTCATTCCCTACTATGTCGCCTCTGTAGCGCCTTCACAGCACTTCTGATCTGTAAGTTGTTTAGTGACTTATGTGCTTGCTTTCTAATTCCCCCACTGGAAATATAAGCTCTGTGAGGGGAGGAATCAGGTCGGTTTGGTCCCCAGCTCTAGCCCCAGCATCTAGCCCGCTGCCTGTCACACAGCCAGCACTCAGAGAGTACTGAATGAATAACATACTGGGCTACATTGGGGGAGTCACTTCCTCTCTGACCCTGTTTTTTTTTTTGCTATACAACTGGGAAGTTGATCTTAGATGCCTGCAGGTAAAAATATATCTATCTGACCAGCAGCATGGGTCACTAGGGACCTTATTAAAAATTCATAATCTCAGGCCACCTCCATACCCACAAAATCAGAATCTGCATTTGAATACCCCCCCCCAATGATTCATATGCACATTCAAGTTTGAGAAGGCTGGTTAAGACAGAGGGATGTACTTGACTTGGTTGAACTGGAGAACTGCCTGGGGAACTATCTGGGTTGTCCCATACCCAGGAATTCTGACGTAATTGATCTGGCCCAGCACTGGAATTTGTTTAATCACTCCAAGCAATTCCAAGGTTGAGAAGGACTGGTCCGGAGGGTGGTGAAAGCATGGTCCTCCATCTCTCACATGCACATTCTGACTTCGTGGGTGTAGGTGGATCCCATCCTAACCAGCTCCCAGGTGGTGCCTGCTGCTAGGCTGAGACCAGGATCCTTCCAGCGCTAACATTTCATTACTTTATGAACTGCATCCTCTCCTACCCCCAGTCTCTCTCAATCTTCCTTTCGTGATCAGGATTCACTCCATCTCCCTTCATCTCCCTTGATACCAATCATTACATCAAAACACTGATTGCAGAAGGCAATCAATCACCTGAGAAGTTTAAAAACAGTCAGCTGCCCTGTCGGCTGCCCTTGATGAAGGAGATCTTGGTCATGAGAGGTGACCAGCACTGAGCCAGTCCTGAACAACAAGACAACTAGCCCTTCTTTGACCAAGAAAGTTCTGCATGGGTATGTTTATTCCCAAACTGTGCTGGTGTTGTGCTAGGCAGGCTGGCTAGTCTTAGGGCTTACTCTAAGGTACCCCCTCTGGGATTTCATTAGCCCACCACCACCCCTTGCTGGGCCCAGCCAAGAGGATGGCTAGCAGCCCTCAAACATTCTAGGAGTGTGGGTTTCTTGGGCTGGTTGCTGCCTTGGGACAACTGGTAGCCTTCTCCCAGCAGCTCCCCCCACATTACTGACTGAGCCCCGAGGTACAAAAGGACAGGAGAAAAGTCAAAATAGAGTACCTGTGTGGGAGAGCAGGCATCTGATCCACTCATGTCCAAGGTACACCAGCCTCTGCCTACCACCAACTGCAAGGGAACTCAGCTCACCCGACCAGCTAGGCAAAGCTGACCCCAGGGCAGGAAGGCTGTGTGCTTTCTTGGTACTCTGCCAGGAACCACAGTGTCCCTGGCTGAAGTGAGGCTGGTGAGCACTGCCACAGAACTTGACAAAGGGCAGACAGGAGGCACTGGCTGAGAAAATAAGGCACCACGGAAGCAGTACCCATGACTCATGCCACCCCAACACTCACAGCTAACATATAGCAGGTACCCACGGTACTAAGAGGAACGGGACTATGCTTCCCCCAAGGGCACAGCATGCCGCCAGGCCCCTCAGAGTTCCTGGGCCCATCAAGGGATATGACTTTAATGTTCCTGAGAAGTCTGTGGGAAGACCAGGGTGGGCGGAAGCACAGGTTCCATTCTTATCGGTTCAGAGACCTTGATCAATATCATTGTCCCTCAGTTCCGTAAGGAAAACTGGAGCTGCCCACCTGTCACCTCTAGACTCACCTGCCACTCCTGCTCCCTCCTAATCCCTACACCTGGACACTGGGTCCCCATCCACCTTTCTAGCATTGTTCCTGATCCGCGATTCCCCTTGCTTGCCCTGATCCTCCCATCTCTCCCTCCTTCTCCACTCTCTCTTACTTAGGAACATACTCAGGTCTCCTTCCTAAGAAAAAAACAACAGCCCTCTCCGCCTCCGTCTCCTCCTCAAGCAACCCTGCATCTCCACCCTCACCTCCAACGGTCACACTTCCTTATCTGTGCTACATCCTCACTTCCCTCTCAACCCCCCAACCCTGGCTCCCACCCTTATTTTTATCCTGAAATCACTCTTGCTGAATCTCTCAGTGGCCTCCTTCACTCTTCTGGGACTCTGAAACCTTTGATACTGTTAGCTGATGCCTCCTTCTTGGCTCCTGGTCAAGGCTCTCGCCAGGTTCTCCTACCTCTGTAACCGTCTCCATGCTGGCTCTACTTCCTTTAAGCGCTGGCGATCTCCAGGGATCTGTCCTTGAACCTCTGTTCTCCCCTGCGTGTTTTCACAGGGCAAGGTCATTCGTTTTCAGAGGTTTAACTATTACTTATACCCTGATGATTCAAGCTCTTTATTTTTCAGCCCTTTAATTTCTCTCCTAGATCCCATCCTAATATTTCTAATTTTCTATGGCATATCCTGCCTGGATGATCTTAAATTCTTCAAACTTAGCACGTCTCAAACTGCACGCGGCTCTCCCTAGCCCCACTCGCCCCTCCACTATCATCAACTCTTGTCTTCCAATATCTCCCGCCCCTTCACACCATCCCTACTAAACAGTTACTAAATGTTATCGATTCTGCTCCATTTCCCCACTCCAGCAAATGTTTGCTGAACTCCCACATTGTGGGAGGCACAGGAAATATAAAGTTTTATAAAACTCAGCCCCAGTATAAAGGCCACATAGTCTAGAGCCTGAGAAATATTCAGAATGCAGCCTTCCTTCTCCTCTTCTCGAGCCAGAGGTTGATTCTAGGTCTCACCCCAATTCACCTGCTTCCTAACTGGTCTCTTCACTACAGGACTTGACTCATTCAAGCCCCTTCTTCGGAACTGCCAACATATGGTGTCGTTCCAAGAAACAATTCAGGTTGTATCACCCTCCTGCTTCAACTGCTCCCCATTCCTTAAATGAAAAGCCAAAACTCCTCAGAGGCAATCAGGGCCCTTCGAACTCATGCCACAGCCCTGCAGGTGCATCTCCAACTCCGTCCTTCTTCCAGGCGCACGCCCGGAGCCCCCTCTTCCTTCCGCACCTGCATCTGCCCGAAGGCCCTCCCCCCCTGCTCACCTGACAATCCCACTCCTTCTGCAGCATCAGCTCAACGGCCCGTCCTCCACGAAGGCTTTTCTGACATTTTTCAGCAACTGCTGTTTCTCTTCCCACAAAATACTGTTTATATCTTGATTTTAGAACTTAACAGGTAATTTAATTTCATATTATATAATTACTGCTTTTCATGTCTTGTTCACTATCCTCTGACCTCTAAACTCGGAAGCTTGTTTATACCGAGAGTCTATCAGAGTACCTGGGATATAGAAGATGCTTTATCACACCATATAATTTTATTATCTATTATAAAAACATTATTATATTATTAGGTGTTTTGATATCTTGTCCATGAGACTATGACCGCTGGTCCAGGACTTCTTCATATCTCTAGGCAGACTTTACTAGAGTGACTAGAACGTAGCAGATACACAAGGTGTGATAAAAAAATATGGTGAATTAAAAAAATTTTTTTTAATTATTTTTAAAACTTATTACAGTAAAAGACACATTGCCATTAATCCCCCTCAAAATACTCCCCCTCACTTCAAACACACTTATCCCATCATTCTTGCCACTTTCTGAAGCCGTTCTGAAAGTCCTCTTTCGTGAGTGTCTTTAGTTGCACTGTCGTGTCTGCCTCGGTATCCTGAATCGATTCAAAATGTTTCCCTTTCATGGTCATTTTGACTTTGCGGAAGAGCCAGAAATCGCATGGTGCCAGATCTGGTGAGTAAGGTGGATGAGGACACACCATAATGTTTTTATTTGACAGAAATTGTTGTACTAGAAGTGATGTGTGACACGGAGCCTTTCCGTTGTGATCACAAAATACAGTGACTGCTGCGGCTAAGTGCCATCCAATGGAAAGGTAGGGATCTTCAATACAGGAAGCAGCACATCAAACCGTAATAACAGTGTGTGACACGTTTCAACTTGTTCCGTGGAGTCAGTTGGGTATGAACTACTGTTGAAAAAAGGTGTTTTAAAGTGTGCCGTAAATCATCCTCCATCATGACAATGCTCCGTGTCACACATCGTTTCTGGTAGACAGCAATTTCTGTCAAATAAAAACATTATGGGGCCGG